ATCATATTAAACTAATGTTACATGAAATGAATTATCAAACCTAAGCTACAATGATTTGCAACATAGTAGAGTTCATAACCTTGCATTTGAAAAATATTAATCATGGCATTTATATGCCAACACATCCACATGCAGCATATCATGCATATTTATATATTCATAAATAACTCATCAGCCATTTATTATAATATATTTTATATTATAATACCCAAACAATAGGAATGTTTTCTTATACCTAGTGTGTTGATTCTTGTTGAATCTTGAATAGGTTGTGAAACTTAAGCTTATGTCCCAAGGCTAATCAAGAGGGGGATGAATTAGTAATTTTAAATTTTCTCTTGAATTTTAAAATTTGAAACCGGTTGATTCAAAAAGCAAGTTAATTAAAGTTTCAAAAATAAAACTTTTCAACCACGGAATTAAAAACTTGCAGTAAGTAAGCAGCAGAAATTTAAACGACATAAAAATTTATAGTGGTTCAATCAAACACGACCTACATCCACTCCCTGAACACTCCCTCTTCAGGTATAGCACTATTACCAAAAATGACTCTCATTTTTCCCCCACAACAAGGTGGAGAAGCCTTTACAAAACTCTCTTCCACCAATCCCCGGTGCGGCATAGAACCGTCGTCCTTTCACACTCTCCAAGTGTAGACAGAGAACCCTCTTCCTTTTACACCCTCCAAGTGTAGGAAGAGTACATTCGTCTTTTCACACCCTCCAAGTGTAGGCAGAGTACCTTTGTCCTTTCATACCCTCCAAGTGTAGGCAGAGTACCTTCGGCTGTTCACACTCTCTCTTCAATTGCCCTTGAAAAATCACGAAGCAAAAGTATTTTTTACGTCAGTTCTTAATAGACCTTTTATACAAAAGACATGAAAAACTGTCCAGAAAACTGAATTTTTCAAATTTGAGCATACACGATCATACAATATGATCGAGTTTTGTACGTACGAACAGTTCAAATATTGTTGCGTACGAACCTGTTGTGAATCGATATGAAATCATTTCGTACCCCCTCATCGTCTGTACGAACGAAGTTCATCCGGGACGAACAATTAGAAAATTTCAAAATTCGTTTATACGAAACGTCGGGACAAAATGGGATCTCATATTTTCGTACTCTGGAAGGCATGTACGAACTGGGTTCATACAGTATGATCCATACTTAGAAAAATCATTTTTACGCGACTTTGAACCCGAGAAGATCGTACTTGTGAAAGCATGTACGAACTGGGTTCGTACTGTACGATCCATACTTAGAAAAATTATTTTTACGCGACATGGAACCCGAGATGTTCGTACTCGTGAAAGCCTATGCGAACTGGGATCGTCCCGTACAATCCATACTTAGAAAAAAAATTTTGTATGAGGACGGACCCGAGGCGTTCGTACTCGTTAAAGCATGTACGAACTGGGATCGTCCCATACAATCTATACTTAGAAAATTTTTCATTTTTGTTCGTTCGACTGCTTGTTGGGGAAAATAACTGACCAGATCATCCCATACGAAGTAGTATCATATAATGCGATCAAATAAAAAAATTTGAATTTTAAACTCTGCTGATGTGTGTGTGCTCAATTACTCAATTACAATCACAGTCTATCAGACTCAATAAAATGGAAAATACAGACTTCA